GGGTTGGAGATGCCTTTTCATATCTCTGCTTTTCAGTTTTGATCAGTTTGTTATTGTTCTTTCCATTTACGTTGCCTTAGTCATTGTGTATGTTATGTGCATCAGTTCATGTAAATCTTTACCATGTGTCTTTTAGTTACTTTCCTTATGTCATTCCAAATTGCTTCCAAGAATAGTTGGTCAGCTCTACCACCAATTTGTTATTATTCCTGTGTTTTCACAGCCCCTTTCAGTGTTTACAATTCTGCCTCTTTTGTCATCTTTACCTGGTTTCTGGACATAAAGTAAAACCTCTGAGTTGTTTGATTGGCATTTATCTTAATATGAATGAATTTATGAAAAATGCTTATTAAGTACCTACTGTGTTAAGCAGTAGTGATTCCAATAAAAAGACCTCAAGGAGCTTCCATTCTAAAGGGAGAAACAACACACCTAGGACACTGTTGGTTAGGGGCGTATTTGGTCCAAAAAGTTATGAGTAGTGAGTGTGGCAGCAGGGAGGTGGAATGACACAGCACATCTAAGGATCGTGACAGAGTCAATATGATCATGGTTCCTAGTTGCAGAACTGAAACGTTGGAAGCAGAAACTTTCCTATTATCCTGCTTTTGTTTTGTCTGTACAAAAGTTTTTCAGTTTTGTGAAGTCAAAAAAAATTTTTTTAACCTCTATTCCTTGGTTGGGGCAGCTAGGTGGTGCAGTGCAGGGTTTGGAGTCACAAAAGCTCATCTTTGTGAGTTCAAATCTGGCCTCATAGACTTACTATTTTTGTGACCCTGGGAAAGTCACTTAATCTTGTTTGCCTCAGTTTCCTCAGCTGTAAAATGAGCTAGAGAAAGAAGTGGCAAACCACTCCAGTATATTTGCCAAGAAAATCCTAAATGGAGTGGTGCAGAGTCAAACATGGCTGAAACAACTGAATAAAAACAATCCTTTGGTTGCTGAAGATTTCACTCCTTAGCCATAACAGTAAGAGGTACTGGATTTGGATTGTTCTCTTTTCTCTTTTCCTCCCTGCCTCCATTCTTTCCTTCCTTCCTTCCTTCCTGTCTTATTGTATAACCTTTAGTATTTGGTCATATTGTGGTATGATGTAAGATGCCAGTTAATAAGAATTTTAAGCACCTGCTATGTTCCAGACACTGTGCTAAGCACTGGAAATACAAAGCAAGGCAAAAGACAGTCCCCACTCTTAAAATTTCACAGTCAATAGGGTAGACAACAGGAAAAGAACTTTGTACAAAAACAATATGTATATATGTGCATATATATGCTTACATATATATATATATATACCTATGTACATAAATATATACGTATGTATATATACACACACATATATACACAAATAATTGACAGAGAGAAAGTACTATCAGCAATAAGGGGAATCAGGAAAGATTTCTCATGGAAGATGTGATTTTAGCTGAGACTTGATAGAGGCCTTGGAAACAGGATCCAGAGATGAGGAGGGAAAGAATAACGAAAATTAATGAAAACTCCTAGGATCAGGAGATGACTTATCTTATGTGAGGAACAGCAAGGAAGACAGTGTCACTGAATTGCAGTGAGTGGAGAGAAGTAAGGCAAAAGAATACCAGAAAGGTAAATTGGGTGCCAGTGAAGGGCCTTGAATGCCCAACAGGATTTTTATTTGATCCTGGAGGTGATAGGGAGCCATAGTTTACTGAATTCTGTCATCACGTACCACGTGAAGTCCTCTGACTCTAATTTATCTCTTCTTTCTCTAATAAGTATAACATTTAGTTAAAAAGCATTGGTAAATTTCATTCTTGTACTCTTTTCATATAACAACTCTCATGTTTAATAGTACCTGGACCAGTGCACTGTATACACTTCACTTTCAGTAACTATTTAAAATAATTGAATGTAATCCCCTTCCAAAAGTATTCCCAAGATAGTTTAGTAGAGTTTTGTATGTTCTTGAAATAAAAACTTCACAAATTTATTCAAGTGTTTACATGAGGGAGGGAAGGGCAGGAATTTGACACTGTTAAAAAGAGAACACTATTGATAGTGTCCAACTAAGCAATCATATATTGGTATTATCACTAAAAAATGATTATTTCTTTCTAGTTACAAGTTCACATTGGGCAACAGTGCTTGAGAATTATGTAACTATATGGTCAAGTTTTGTAGTATTTGGAGGTAGCTAGGTGGGTAGTGAATAGAGCATTAGTCCAGGAGTCAGGAGATCTGAGTTCAGATTTACTCTCAAATACTTCCTAATTGTGTGCTGTTGGGCATGTCACTTAAACTCTGTCTGCTTCCATTTTCTATTCAAATCTAGTATTTTCATGTGGAATACCTGGAAGTCCTGTATTTCATTAAAGATACATTTTTCCCCTCAATTTTTCCAGATAAATTATTTTTGGCTATAACCCTACATTTTTGCTGCATAGAGTAGTGTTCACTAAGCTCTCAGTTTCTTTATAAAGGTAGTTGTTAAATCTTGTGTGATCTTGGCTCTGACTTCTTGGTACTTGAATTCTGCCTTTCTGGTTGCTTTCAGGTTTTTTTTTTTCTTTGACCTGGAAACTTTGGATTTTGACTATAATGTTTCTGAGAGTTTTCAGCTTGTGGTTTCTTTTAGGAAGTAAATGATAGTTTCTTTCTATTTCCAATTTGTCTTCTGGTTCTAAGAAGTCTGAAAAATTTTCTTTTACAGTTTCTTGAATTATAATGTCTTTTTTTGGTTCATGGCTTTCAAAAAGTAATCCAGTGATGTTTAAAGTGTTCTCACCTTGTTTTGTTTTTCAGATCCTGTTTTGAGTTGTTTTTGCTGGAAGAGAGCTTACATTTTCTTCTATTTCTCAGTTAATTGATGTTTTAACATTTCTTGCTGTGTCATGGGGTCATTAGCTTCTGTTTGCTCCATTCTGGTTTTTAGGGTGTTTTGTTGCTTGATCAAAGTTTTATGCCTCTTTTTTTCTCTCCAAGCTATTAATAACCCCTTCAAATTCTCTTTTGCATAGCTCTCATTTCTTTTCATTTTTTCTACTTGTGCTCTTTTTTTTCATGTATAAAAGCATTTTGAACTCTTATTTAAGCTCTTGTTTCATTATTTCCAGGATTTCTATTTAAATTTGTGTTCAATGTGTGTTTTTCTTTAAAGCTTTGCTTGTTGATGTTTTGGAGTCATTCTCTTCTTGTGTTGAGGGCTTCACTATCACCACAATAGATTTTTAATGTTATATTCATTTTTGTTTGTTTACCATTTTCCCAGTATTTTTCCTGACTGTTCTTTGTGTTGGGACCAGGCTCTGTGCACTTCTGGCAGGAGTATCTGGGTTAGTCCTTCTGCTGTTTTTTGGGAGGTATCAAGGGTTGAGTTATTCCACGACTTCAGGAACAGCTGAAGCTGCAGAACTGCAAGCTTTCAGTGCTCATAAAGTGATCTGACACTGGGCAAGTTTAATTGCTGCTGAGTGATCAGAGCTCTGCAAATTCTTGACCTGGTTTTGTGTTTGAGCAAGAGATCTGTGGATTTCCTCCTTTGGAGTTCAATAGAATGTTGCTGTACTTAACCCCTCTCAGCCTCTTGAAAAGCTCTGCTTGTTCAGAGTGACAGAACTGCAGGGTCCTCTTTGGTCTGAGGTCTCAGGCCCGGTCATTCCCCTACAGGCTTCAGTCATTCCTGACCTGGAAATGGGTAGTGACTGACAAACCTGCCAGTTGTCACATGTTCCCTCACTCTACCTGAGTTCTCTATGCCCTGGAATTGGTCTGGTACCTTTTCCTGCCTGTGTTCTCTTTTAGCTCTTGAATGTTGATGTGCTTTTCAGGGTTTTCTACTGGTCAGACCTCATCTCCAGTATCCACAGACCTAGCTTCACATTACACTAGCCAAGGCTGGAAAAACGATTCCCTTTGACTTTTTCTTGGATTTCCTGATCAGGTTTCAGTCCAGTACGTGTTTTTAGATCTATTTGGAGGAGTATTGTGGAGTGGGAGCTTGCTGTACTTTGTTCTATTACTTTGCCGTTTTGTCTCTGCCTCTTCCAAGACATCTAATCTCAATGTCTAAAACTGAACTTATTGTCTTCCTCTCTAAATCCTCTCTGGTTCTGTCAAAAATACCATTATATTTTCCAGTTTCTCTGGTTCATAATCTTGGCATTATCATACATAGCTAATGAGTTTCCAACTCTTGATAACTCTATGCCTTTGCACTGGCCTTCCCCCATTCCTGGCAATGATTTTTTCTTTACTTCCACTTCATAGCAGTCTTTTCTCTTTAAAAGGCAGCTCAGGCCACTTCTAAATTAAGGCCTTCCTGATCTCTTTAACTGTTAGTGCCTTCTTCACAAACTACTTTGTATTTAACTACTTTGTGTATATTTGTATTTATTAACTTTACAGTTATGCTGCATGTATTTTTATGTCTACTTGTCTCTCTCCTTAGAGTATAAGTATAATGAGTAGATTGTTTCAGTCTATGTATCTCTTCAGCCTAGCACAGTGCCTGACAACTAGTAGGCACTTAATAAGGACTTGCTAATTGATGGATTTCATTTGTAGAGGTAAACTACCCTTGTCTAATTTTCTAGTTTACAACAGTCTAGACTTTAATCTGTAGATTAAAGAATTGGACTCATTTGTTTCCAACAAGGAAGAATATTGAATCAAGCTCTTTTGTACTGACAAATCCTTAAGAAAAAATAGAAAAATTTTATATAACATAACTAATTATGTCATGGTTCTAATTCAAAGGATTTAACAATTTTAATAGCAAATTCTTATAACTGTTTAAAACATGATGGATGACTTAATTACCAGTCAAATGTATTAAGTAACAAACCAGTTCTGTTAACCTGATGAGAACAATTCTCATTCTTCTACTTAAGTTAGTTAAATAAAAGTGCATTTATAGTTATTTAATAATTTGTTTTAAATTACAACTTGGTTATACTGTTTTTATTTGAAACGTAATATTAATATCTTTAACCAGACTTTTGTGTTTACTTCTTTGTGTTCTGTAGATCCAAGAAAATGATGAGCTAAGAGATGCCCATGAAAAACGCAAAGAAAGGCTGCAGATGTTACAGACCAACTACAGAGCAGTAAAAGAGCAATTAAAACAGTTGGAAGAAAACTATAGCAAGTGAGTTACATAGCTCATAAAAAATACCTTCCCTAAATATTAAATGGAATACAATAGCATTTTAAGTGTTCTTAGTGGATTTTGTAAAATTATTTGATAGAATTTTTTTTCACATGAATCTAAGTAGATTTGGAGCATGACAAAGTACATATGCTGACTTTAGTATTTTGAAATTGTATTGATGGTACTTAACAGTTGGTAATTATTTATTTATTTCTTTCACTTTTAGTATCTCTGTAGATAGGTTTAACAAGAATATATAATTTTAAATTAATAGCATATTACATATGATTGAATATTTATTTTTATAACAATACTTGTTAAAGAAAAAATTAAAATACAGAACTTTAAAATATAAAGACAAGAGGCATATGTGATGTATGACTTATAGTTAACAGTTTAAAATTTTGTTTTACATAGTATGTGTTGCAAATCTTAACAATCCATTGGTTTGTTCTATAGCTTTCTGAATGAATTGGTGCTCTCAGTTCAGTTGCTGTGAACAGGTGTTCAGATCTCAGTTAGTCGTAAGTGGCTCCCTTGATAACAGTATCAACAGAGGGCAAAGGACTGAATGAGCACAAAAAATGTGTTATGGTCTCTTCTTTGGCGAGAGATCCTTCAGGGCAGTGTTAATGGTACATATTGTTTGCTTGTATGTAGAAGTAACATTTCTAAATTGGCCAGTGCAGCACTTTTCCAAATTATAAACCAAGAGTTGATTTTTATCTCTTGAAAACTGAGATTCACATGGAAATTTTCATTGTCTATTGTTAAAATGAGATCATTGTAGAGAAAGTTCTTCTGATTATACTACTTTTTAATGATTTCTCCTGGTGGATAGAGAATGTTATCAAATTGTACCTGAGTAAAAACAAAGTGTAAAATAACTTTAGATTCTACAACTCTATGCACTTAACTTTTCAAAGCCCTGATAATGTAATGGCTCACTTTCCAACATGAATATCTAACAGCTTGCTTTTAAGACTGGGCATTTATACCACTTACAGATTTGTTGGCAACATATGCTGGATTAGTTGATGGCTTATAACCTTTCTTGGACACTGTGACATCTCTACATGTACATTTTCTCTATTGGCAGAATTTGAGAGATAGACCCAATACTGCCATATGTCATATTAAGAGCTCTGCTTTCATACCAGCAGCCCAGCTTTATGAAATTATTTCAGATCTTTAATTTAAACATACCAGGTTTTTGAAGTACTATCCAATCAAAACTGAATTCATATTACCTTTTAGGAATATATCTAATGGATTTCTAAAGTTCAAAGATGTATGAGTTTTTCTAGATTTTAAACATTAGAAAAATAATAAAACATCTTGATTATGAAACAGGACTGACAGAAACAAACAAATGAAGAGAGGAGAGTCCCAGCAGCTCCTACAAGGAGATTCTAATGCTCTGTGGAACGAGCTGACATATTTCAAAAGGGAGCACCAGAAGCTATTGATTGAAAAGTGAGTTTTCTTTTTTCAACAATATGTGCATGGAGAAACATTTGGGCAGGTATTTATGTGGCTTGAAGGCCACTAGAGAGAGTCCTTACATAATTTGAAGATTATACCATCTTCTTTTTACCAAGAAAAAGAAAAGAAAAAAAAAAACACTGGCTTTTTTCATAATGCAGTGACAAGTTGTACGTTTGCTACTACTAACAGAAAATGTATAACATGATCTAGGGATTGTGTTAATTAATGTGGCTCTCATCTGTTGGAGGTGTCGCTCTTCATTAGCCTGTATTTTACACACTGCCGTGCTTCATTTTTGGAATGAGGTGGTGAGGGGATAACCTAGCCAGCCATCCTTGTTTGATCTCCTTGATACATACGCAATGCAGAATGCCTCAGCTCTCTTGGTTCCCTGCCCTGTCCTGCTAATCCCAGCTGAGCTCATTATGGTGTAGCCTTGCTGCTACTCTTGGAGCCAGAGCTGTCCAAGCTAATTACTGGTAGCAGCAGAGCTGCCTGTTAAGGGTCTGGTGTGGATCTGCTAACATGGTCCTTGGTAGTGACCTGAAGAAGACACGAGGGAGTTGCTTTCTTTCTTGCTGTGCATTGCCTGTCCTTTGGGCTTAATGCTGATCCCTTCACACAGCTCTTTTAGATACAGTAAGTACAAAACTTGGTGAAGGAAACTCATATTTTAGAAAACATACAGTTTGCTTCTTTGATCTTATAAATCACATGTTATTATACTCAGTCTGCCAATGAAAGAAAACTTTCTTTTCTTGTAGACAAAAGGAAATTAGCCCAGTATAATTAGCCTTTTGCTGCTATTTAACTGTTTCTTTACCTTACAGTAATTTTAGCCATCAGAATATCAAGTTTTTGTGGAAGATTGTGAATTTCATAGGTAGCTAGTCTAAGAATTTGGCAACAGGTGTAGCACTGAGTATCAGAGTTTATTGAATTTTCTTAGCAAATTATATATTATATCATTTTATGGCACTAAGCTCTTTACATAATACAAATAAAACTAAATTATAAGCTGTTTCACAAAATTGTAAGCTCTTTTAGAGAAAGGACCATGTTAAACTTGAACTGTGAACTCTAAGGTATCGAATATTGTGCAACATATTCTATGGATGCTCAGTAAATATTTAATGCTGGTAATGGAATATCTGTCTTTGAAACTTTTCATAAATTTATTCATTCAAACATTTCTTGAGCTTCTCTCTACACGGCACTATGCTAGGTACTTTGGGGAATAGAAAGATGAATAAGACACAGTCCTTGTCAATAAGAAGCTTATATTCTAGTAAGGATAATGGATATAATCCAGTGCAAAGGAGAAAAAGAAAGTGCAATAAGAGAGTTAAAGTGTTATGGCTATTCAGGGAAAGAAGAAGATAATTTTAGGGTAGAAAAATTAAGAAATACTTCATGGAGAAAGCGACACTGACCTGATTCTTGAAAGATGGGCAATTCATTGAATTCCACAAGCATTTATTAGGCAACTTCCTTGTGCCAGGACTGTGACAGGCTACAGGGATACAGAGACAAATATAAAACAGCCACTGACCTCAGGGACATAGCATTACACTGAGGGAGGGAACAACATCCGTGTTGATAAGCAAATTAAAACATAGACAAAATAGATACCAAGTAATTGGAGGAGCACTAATAACTAGGAGAATTAAGAAAGTCCTCTTGCAGAAGATGAACTCGAGCTTAGCCTTGAAGGGAACAAGGGGTTTTAAGAGGCAGAAGTGAGGAGAGAGAATATTCTAGGAAATAGGGGTAGCCTATATAAAGTCACAGGGGTAGGGAAAGAAATATCATGTATAGGGAACAGTAAGTAATCCATTTGACTGAAAGGTAGCAACGTGTAAAGGGGTGTATATGTAATCAACCCAGAAAACAATTAGGCCAGACTGTGAAAGGCTTTAAATTCCAAACTGGATCTTACATTTTATCCTAAGGGCAGTAGGTAACTACTAGACCTTGGAAAGGGGAGTGATTATGTTTAGACCATATTGCTTTAAGAATATAATTAGGTAGCTATATGAATATGGATTCAAAAAAATGCAGGCTAAATGCAAGGAGATAAATTAAGAGATTATAACTGCAATACAGGTAAGAGGTGATATGGGCTTGAATTATGGTGGCTTTGGTATGGTTGAAGAAAAGGAGAGGTATGCAAGAAATGTAGAGGTAGAATCAACAAGAACAGGCAATTGGCTAAATATGGGATTGGTAGAAGAGATTAAAGAATCGTAGATGACTCCTTGCTTATCTATTTTTGTATCTGGAGGAAAGACTATGTCTTCAACAGAAATAGAGAAATGGTCACAAACAAATCTATCAAATATGTCATTCATGTGTTAGACACTCCTGGTACTGTTTTCTTAAAACACACCTGTACTAGCAAAGTCTCTTTTGATTTAATTTCTGCTTCTTAGAAATCTGACTGTAACTTTATGTTAGAGGCCATAGGTATCATGGTCTCTTTTTAAGGCCAGAGTAAGATAAAAATAAAGAGTTTCTACATACACTTAAGTTTAAAAATGCTTCAGGCATGACTTCTATGATAAGTGATTAGATGAACAGCACTCAAGCTGCTACATTAAACTACTTTTTTCACCTGAGTTTCTTCTGTTTCCATTTCACATCTGCTTTATCTCTGACTGTTAGTAAAGGATGTAAAGTAAATTGTGCTTACTGTCAAAATGTTGATGATCTCTTGCCCCAACTAATTTATATTGCTGATCAGTCTTGAGGTCTACAAAATGATTTTACCTAAAAATTTATCATCTTTAAATATTTTATGAAATAAAGTGTTCTTTTTTGTAAATGGTTTGGTAATTTTTCTTGATTTAGTATAGTTTAAAAGGACATAGTGAACAGTTACTTAGCTAGTGTCATAACTTTTGTGGACACTTTAGTCATTCTCATTTATGTTATTAAAATTATGTATTTCGTGGCATTTTAAAACTAGAGTGGAAGTTTAATAAGGAGTACTTTGTTAGTTGTCATTAAGAACAACTTCCACTTGGAAGCTATAAACTCTTTAAGAGATTCAGTTCCAAAGGTCTGAAGCCTTTTATAAATTAATCAAAGGGTAATATTACAACAGACATACTTACAAGTAATGGTTCTTGAAAAAAACAGGATACATATGGGATATAAATGATTCTTGAATCAGAATATTTTTAAAGGTTTCAAACTATTTTAAATACAGCTTTGTGTCTTTAATATCTTAACTACATTTAGATGAATTTCTAAACAGTTTTATCTAGATCAGATTTTCATACATTATTTTTCCTTCATTGACTTAATATCATTATTTCAGAAATATATTTAAAGGGTTGCTGCCCTTTTGCCAATTACCTGTCATTATTTACACCAAACTGTATATTGCTGTATGTGGCAGGTCATGTGCTGAAATGTGGCATCTAGTAGACTTAAGCATTTCCACATAGCGAAGAGCGTTATTGTGCAAACTGAAACATCTCTCTGTTTTTCCCTTTTTCCTAAGTTCAAATCTTACTGTACGGCAGGTATTGTGGGCCAGGCCTAACCTTGGCCAGTTCAGTGATACAAGGGTTAAAATGCAAGAAAATACCCATGGATCACAAAATACATTAAAACCAAAAGATAAAAGAACAGAGCTTCTAAATTAAAAAGAAAATTTTGCTCCATTTTGCCTCCTCACCAACCATTCACTTTGATCAAGATCTCTTCCTGATCAGAGTTTAGGTATATTCTCTGATGCATTTACACTCCAGGCTAGATCTGTTATAATTGGGGCCACAAAACGGGGTTGAGGGACTACTTCTTTAATGAACCAGTCTGGTTCACCTGCTTCTCTAGCCACTGCTAGAGCATAGAGGACAATGGACTGGGCTAATTATAAGTTCTTTCTGTTATTTTGTTTTTACAATATTTACTTTAGTTTTTATGTCACCTGCCTTGATTTCCATCCCCCTCCTACAGAGCCTTCCCTTATAATAAAAAATAAGAAAGAGGGGGAAAAAAGTACAGTAGAACTAACACAATGAAGAAGTCTGACTTTTTATGTATAGTTCCATTCCCCTAGGTGTCCCCCCTCCCCTTTCCCACCTCTATGAAGCAGTAGAAGGGAGTGAGGGAAGGAACATTTTCATATCTGTTCCTTGGATCTTAGCTTGGCCATTATGATTTCACAGTGTTCAGTTTCAAATATTTTGTTGTTCTTTCCATTTACATTAATGTAGTCATTGTGTGTCTTGTTTTCATGATTCTACTTATTTCACTGTACATCAGTTCATATGTCTTCCTGTTCTTTTCTGAATTATTTCTATTCATTATTTCTTTTAGCATAGTAATGTTCTATTTCACTCATGTACCACACTTTGTTTAGCTGTTCCCAAATCCATGGGCATCTACTTTGCTTCCAGTTCTTTGTTATTACAAATAGTAATATTATAAATATTTTGTTTATAATATTTGTCATTGACTTCCTTAGGGCTAATGACTAGCATTGGGATCTCTGGATCAGAGGCATTGGCATTTTAATTTCTTTCTTTGCATAACAAATTGATTTGTGGCATGGTTAGATCAAACAGCTCCACCAACCATGTGCCTGTTTTTCCACAACCCCTCCAACATTGACTATTCCTCTCTTTTGTCATCTTTGCCAATTTTCTGGTTGTGAGATAAAGTTTCAGAATCCTTTTGATTTGTATTTCTCTTATTATTAAGTGTTTGTATATACCTATTTGAATTTGAATTTACCTATAATATGAATATGAAGCAGCTGGGAATGATGGAGAGTTAGTCTTGAAGCCAGGAAAATGTGGATTCAAATCCTGTCTTAGAAACACACTAGCTGGGTGATCCTGGGCAAGTGACTTACTTCATATTTCTCTAGGAAACTAAGGCTGTTAATTGTACAAATGCTGACCTGTATTGATAGAATTTCCTTATGCAGGAGTTTCATATACCATTGAAATTGCAGGTTAAGTTCCTGTCATCTT